TTTTTTTTTTTTTTCTTTTTTTAATGTTTGCTTATTTTTGAGAGAGGGAGAGACAGAGCATGAGTTGGGGAGGTGCAGAGACAGGGAGACACAGAATCTAAAGCCGGCTCCAGGCTCTGAGCTGTCAGCACAGAGCCCGACCCGGGGCTCGAACCCACCAACTGTGAGATCATGACCTGAGCCAAAGTCAGACGTTCAACCGACTGAGCCATCCAGGCACCCCAAAAGTACTTTTAAAAATCATTAACTACAACCAATTAGGTGATATAAAAACCTGCAAATAACATCAACTATATCTAAATAAAACGGCAAAAAATACACATAAATCATTGCCTTATCTTAAAATTGGTTAAATTATCTCTTCCTGATCTGAAACTCAAAATCCATTTTGCTGAAAAATAAAAATGAGATTAAAAAACGATTATGACCTGACTCATTTATAAGCCAATCGGATATATGCCTCCTGCATTAGATTGGTCAATGGACGAAGTAGTCAAGGACAAAATGTTACAACTTTATATCTAAATAAATGTTAACTAAGTGATATTTTTATAATATAGTTCAAACAATACAGTAGCTTCCCTTTCTTACCAGCCAGAGGATATGGTCCAAGACCCCCAGTGGATGCCTGGCAGTATATATCTATATATATCTATACAGAGATATATATCTCCATGTATCCATATGTGTGTGTGTGTGTGTGTGTGTGTGTATATAGTACCAAACACTAGATGTATTGTTTTTTCCTGCACATGCAGAGCTCTGATGAAGTTGAATTTATAAATTAGCCCCAGTAAGGGATTAACAACAATAACTAATAATAAAATAGAAAAATTACAACCACAGACTGTAATAAAAGTTATGTGAATATGGTCTCTCTCTCTCAAAGTATCTTACTTTCAGGGCACCTGCGTGGCTCAGTTGGTTGAGCATCTGACTTTAGCTCAGGTCATGATCTCACAGTTCACAAGTTTGAGCCCCGCATCGGGCTCTGTGCTGACAGCTCGGAGCCTGGAGCCAGCTTCGGATTCTGTGTCTCCCTTTCTCTCTCTGTCCCTGCCCTACTCATGCTCTCTCCCTCTCTGTCTCTCAAAAACAAACAAACAAAGAAACAAAACATTTGAAAAAAAAAAAAAAAAAAAAAAAAAAAAAAAAAAAAAAAAAATGTCTTCCTATCCCGTATTCGCCCTTCTTCTTATGATGGTAAGATGAGCCACGAGGTGAACAAGGCAGGCATGTGATGAGGGGTCAGGCTGCCACTGACCTTCTGATGGTAGTCAGGAGGAGGACCATCTGTTTCCGGACATGAGCTGACTGTGGCTAACCATATCCAGAAAGCAAAACTGCAGACAAAGGGGGACTACTGTATACATCTGCTTATCCCACTCGCAACAATTACCTTTAATGGTTTCCTCCACAACCTCTACCACTCGATCTATCTGTTGAACCTGAAAAGAAAACAAATGGTTAGATAAGCTATTTACATGAGACAAGAAACATTAATTAGTGTTGACCCTTCTGCTTGAGTCAATGAAACACATTTTTCTAAGCCCACGAACTCAGGTTTCCTTTAATTCATGCATTTGGAGATATTATAAAAAAAATTGTGTATTAATGTTTTATGTTACAGTGAAGTATGAAATTACCACTCTCCTGTCCTCCCATGATAATTGAAGAAATAATAATACATTTAAATGAACCTCCTGGCGTTCTGTTAGCATAGCCTATCAACATCAACTCAACAGATCCAGGGACATAAACTGAAGTTTAATTAAAACATGTCTCTTCACACACACATTCTCTTCTTTTCATTCTTGAAAAAAAATGGCACAAAATGACAACCTACGCAAAAGGACATGCTGGTAGTGAGATCTACCCCCTATTCTATGCTTTATTACTCTAACACTGAAACACCTCTTAATGAATGTCTACCATGTGCTAGGCGCTGTGCTCGGGTCAACGGAATACAAAGTCAAAGAGTGCATCTCAGAGAACCAAAGGGGACTCTAAGAGTAGCTAGGGTGTAGAAGGAAAATGGAAAAAGCAAAGACTGTACTTACTGCAAGAAGCTAAGGGAAGGGAGAAAGTCAAAAAGGAAAAAATCATAAGTTGATATTACTTACACCTTGCACAATCCTCAAGCTACAACTTTATAACAGAATACATGCTCATCGAAAAAATTCAAACAAATCAGAAATGTAAAAAGGAAATAAAGTAACCTGTAACATCCTACACCCTCCATTTCTGCTCCTAAGATAATATCATTCATAATAGTTCAATAAGTAGATACCAAGACATTTGTCAGTACAGAATATTTACATATAGCTTTGTTTTGTACTTTTTTCCTTATAAATTTTGAGATAAATAGGTACACAGATAGATGAGAGTGAAAACAACAATCCTGCCTCTATACATCATCAATACATAAGGTCTACTTCATTTATGTTACCAGCTGCCTAGTATCTCATGTAGAGATCTATCATAATGCATTCATTCATTCCCCAACTGATGGACCCTTACGTTATTTCTTTCACTATTATACAAAGATGCTGCAATAAACTCAAATGAGATAAGAACCTTCTGAAAAGACTTTAATAAAAGTGCAATATTCAAAACCCTCTTTTGAATATTCCATTGGCCTCAATGTCTTACAGGAAATAAGGAAAGACTTGGGAGAACACACCTGAACTTGATTCTGCTTCTGACCACTCAGCCCAGCATAGTGGTAGGAGTAGCAATAATTACTGAGAAATTGCCAAAGGCAAAGTAAATCTCTGTTGGATCTTTAGTCCCAAACAAACCCGCCTTGCTGGAACCACCAGGTTCTGGTTTTATGAAGAGAATTCAGGTGGCTTCCTTACAGAATGTGATCAAAGTCAAAATATCAGAGTTCAAAGAAGAGGAAAGCAGCCAGTAGGGTCAAATGGTACGAAGATAGTGAGTTAACATAAAGACTGGAATGCGTATGCCTGATTTAACAATGAGGGAATCGATGAACTTAGGGGAAGCAGTGAGCTCAGCAGTAATGAATCATAACTAAAAAAACAGTGACAGCAAATAGAGACTACTCTACAGACAGATGGATAGAAAGAAGAGGAGACACAAGCTGGTCAAATTTCCCAGTGAATGTGGGTGAATGGACAAGGTATCAGATGAGGATACAAGAGAGAGAATAAAAGTAATGCAAGATGAGATGATCCAATGGTGGAATTAAAACACAGAAGCTTTCCTACGCAGGTGGAGACCTAATCGCTCAAAGGGACCACTGCACCCAGCCCGGAAGCACATGGACTGAGAAAGAGAGTCAGAATAACCTGTAGAAGAAGCAGTTAAAACATTAAAAAGTTGAGGGTAAGATAAAACTGTAATATTCTTAAAAGAAAGCATAGCCATAAACGTAGGTGAACCTTAGGTTGGACGCTGGTGTCTTAGACGTTATACCAAAACCATGAATGACAAAAGAAAAAAGATAAAACAAAATTATAACCTCTTGGTACATTAAAGGACACCATCAAGAAAATAACAAGACAACACAGAAAATGGGAGAACATTTTTGCAAATCATAAACACGATAGGATTTAGATTTGTATCTAAAATATATAAGAAGCTCCTGCAACTCAATAACGAAAAAAAAACCAAATACTTAAAGGAGTAAATTTGGGGCGCCTGGGTGGCGCAGTCGGTTAAGCGTCCGACTTCAGCCAGGTCACGATCTCACGGTCCGTGAGTTCGAGCCCCGCGTCGGGCTCTGGGCTGATGGCTCAGAGCCTGGAGCCTGTTTCCGATTCTGTGTCTCCCTCTCTCTCTGCCCCTCCCCCGTTCATGCTCTGTCTCTCTCTGTCCCAAAAATAAATAAACGTTGAAAAAAAAAAAAAATTTAAAGGAGTAAATTTAATGTTATATATACTTTATAATAATGAGATACTACTCCATACCCACTAGGACGGCCATAATCAAAAGGGCAGACAATAACAAGAGTAGGCGAAGATACAGAGAAATTGGAACGTTTCTACATTTCTACATTGCTAGTGGGAATGTGGTAAAAGGGTGCAGCCGTTTTGGAAAACAGGCAGAGCCTCAAATAGTTAAACAGAGTTGCAACATGATTCCAGTCCTTAGTATACACCCAAGAGAAATGAAGATACGTGCCTACACAAAAACTAGTACACAAATGTTCAAAGCAGCATTATTCCTAATAAGCAAAAGGTGGAACCAACTCAAGTTTCATCAGCTGATGAAGACATCAACAAAAGGGTAAAGATCCATACAATGAAATATCATTAAACCGTAAAGGGGAACGTAATAGACAGTAGTCCCCACTTTATCAGGAGTTCACCTTCCACGGTTTCATTTACCTGCAATCCAGAAGCAGATGACCTTCCCTCTGACATATCATCAGAAAGTCAGCAGCAGCCTAATCCTACATCACGGTGCACATGTCATTCCCATCACGTAGGCATGTTATCATCTCACATCATCACAATGAGAAGGATGAGTACAGTACATTAAGATAGTGTGAGAAAGAGATCACACTCACGCATGAGATTACGTAATACATTACATCACATTATGCTTTTATTATAGCATATGACTATAACTGTTCTGTTTTAGTAATAGTAATTGTTGCTCATCTCTTACTGTCCCTAATTTATAAACTATGCTTTAGCATAAGTATGTATGTATAGGGGGAAAAAAAACACTGTATATATAGGCCTCAGGGCAATCCACAGTTTCTGTATGCACTGGGGGTCTTGGAATACAATCCCCCCCCATGGATAAAGAGGGGAATACTATATGCTACAACGTTATGCCAATCCAAAGCCAGACCAAATTAGTCAAATACTGTACGACTCCATGTATATGAACTGGCCGGAATAGGACAATCTTCAGAGACAAAGTAGATCACTGAGTGCCTGTGAACAGCAGTAAAAGAAATGAGAGAAGCTGCCAGGGAGGGCTGGGTTTCCTTTTGGAGTGATGAAAATATTCTAAAATTGACTCTGGTGGATTGTGGTGTACTTCTGAATATATTAAAAATCATTAAATTATACATGCTTCATGACAGCACTGTATGCTGTGTCCATTATATCTCAAAAAGGCTGTTATTACAATAAGAAGAAGAAGAAGAAGAAGAAGAAGAAGAAGAAGAAGAAGAAGAAGAAGAAGAAGAATACAGGCTGATGGCGGTCAAACATTCTAATACCAAGGTCATGAACCTCAAGGAAAAACTGAGGATATATACTCCCAATTAAAGGAGGCTTAAAGAAACCTGAGAATTGAATGCAACTTCCAATATGGGGCTTTTTCTTTTCCTATCGAGGACGTTACTGGGACAACCGGCAAGAGCTGAATACGGTCTTCACATAAGCCTACAGTGTACCAATGTTAATTTCCTGATTTTTATAATTATACTCTAAGAGTGTATGAAAATATTCTCATTTTTTAAATATACGGGTATTCAGAAGTAAAGAGGCATCACGTCTACGTCTTACTCTCAAAGAATCAGAAAGAAATGTATATATACATTTTTTTAAAAAAGATAATTATAAGCAAATGTATTAAAATATTAACATTTGCAGAATCTGGGTAAAGAGTATATGGTAATTCCTTTTGTTTGCAATTTTCCTGTCAGTGTGAAACTATGTCAAAATAAAAGTTTAAAATATATGTGTGTGTGTATGTATATGTTGAACAAATAAAGAGAATTTTTGTTTATGCTGATAGTCGCACAGAATTTGCTCGAATGTATGTACACAGCTGAAAATATATTATCTGATTTTTATGTTTTATTTTATACTGAGAGAGAGAGAGAGAGAGAGAATGAAAGCGCACCAGGGTGGGGCAGAGAGATGGAGACGGAACGTGAAGCAGGCTCCAGGCTCCGAGCTGTCAGCACAGAGCAGGACGCAGGGCTCGAACTCACAAGGAGCAAGATCATGAGCTGAGCCGAAGTCGGATGTTTAACCAACTGAACCACCCAGGCACCCCTATTGTCTCATCTTTTCAAAGAAGGACTTAATTCCATTTGCTTTATGGCAGAAAACTCAATGTTCCCTACACATAATTTCATCACTAGGTGCATGGAGGGCCTCTAGAACTTGAAAAAGAAGCGTCTGCCAAACATTAAGAAAATAAAAACAACACTTGATTACAAACACGCAGGGAGAAAGTTCAGTGAGTGATTCAAAGAAAATATTGTGTTGCTTCCATTTCTAGTGAGGTGGATATTGGAGGAAGCGGTGGGACAAAAAGAAAGAAGGGGAAGCAGAGAAGGAAGGGAGAGAAGAGACGGGGGTTGGGGGAAACAGTTAAATGAGAGAGGGGAGTTAGAAGGCCAAAAAAACAAAAACAAAAACAAAAACCACCAACACGTGGGAGGCAGGGAGAGAAGAAAAACCAATTACGAGAGAACAAACTCAAGATCCACGTAGGGTAATGAAGAATATAT